AAGTGGGTGTGTCGGGGTAGGCCGCTGGAGAAACCGGCCGGTACCACACAGTGCGTCCTGGGGTCCGGGTGCGCGCCGCGCCGCGCCGCGCCGCTTTAAGACGAGCCTTCGGGAGCCAGACCCTGATCGCCACCCAGCTCAGCAGAGAGCAGGTACGGGGGGCGGGGGGGGACAGGGTCCAACTCCTGAACTTGGCCGGGGCGGCTCCATGGGGGCGGGAGCAGCGATGGTTGCAGGCAGGGAGAGAACTAGGAAGGAACCCTTTTTGGAGGAGTTACCGGGCTCTTCCAGCTACTCCCCATGCAGCTTGGTCCTTGTGCTTCTCCAGGGGCTGCCCTGCCTGGCAGGCTTCCTCTGAGCCCCTGATAGCATCAGGGCAGCCCCTTGAGTACCACTGCCCATCCCTAAGGCTGGTCCATCTCGGGAGTGTGTGGCTCACTAGGTGTAATATCTGTGTGTGTGTGTGTGTGTCTCCTTGTGTGTAATATCTCAGTCTAGGTGTGTCTCCCTGTGTGTAATAGCTGTGTGTGTGTGTGTGTCTCCCTTTGTCTAATAGCTGTGTGTGTGTGTGTGTGTGTGTCTCCCTTTGTGTAATAGCTCTGTGTGTGTGTGTGCGTGTGCATCTCCCTTTGTGTAATAGCTGTTCCACCTGTGGTGCTCATTGTGCATCTCCCTTTGTCTAATAGCTGTGTGTGTGTGTGTGTGTGTGTGCATCTCCCTTTGTGTAATAGCTGTATGTGTGTGTGCATCTACCTTTGTCTAATAGCTGTGTGTGTGTGTGTGTGTGTGTGCGTGCGTGCATCTCCCTTTGTGTAACAGCTGTGTGTGTGTGCGCGTGCATCTCCCTTTGTGTAACAGCTGTGTGGTGGTGCAGGTGGTGTATATCTCTCCGAGTGTAATATCTGTGTGTGTTTGGGGGGGGGGTCTCCCAGTGTGTAATCTGTGTCTGTGTGTCTCCCTGTGTATAATATCTGTATGGGTGTGGATGCAACTCACCCATTGTCATATCTCACTGTGTGTTTGTGATCCAACAGGGGTGCCTGGTGGACACACAGATCTGGCCAATGTGGGGTAACAGCAGCAGCCCCAATTGCACCCTCTCCAGCCCCCCTCTTCCGGGGGAGATCTGCAAGCTCTTCCTCATGGTCCTGCTGATTGTTGCCATCATCCTGGGCAATGTGGTGAGCCTCCTGGTCTTCCTGCGAGCCAGGCAGTTCAGAACCTCTCAGGGCTACCTGAAAGCCTCCTTGGCCCTGGCTGACCTGGCTGTGGGGCTCATCGTGGTGCCCTACTCTGTGTACCGGGAGGTGAGCAGCTTGGCCTCTGGCGTGGCTCAGGGAAGCAGCAGTTGCTCTAGCTCATCCTTTGCCTGCTTCATCACTGGACCCATCTTCGCTGGCTGCACCTTCGTCTCCATCACCACCATCTTCCTGCTGTCGGTGGAGAGGAGCGTGGCCGTGCTGAAGCCCTTGCACAAGCGGGCGGTGATCACCAAGCGGCGGACGGTCTGGCTCATCCTGCTCTCGTGGTCCATGAGCTTCTTGCTGGCGGTGGTGCCTCTGCTCTCCAGCCCAGACATCACCTTGCAATACAGCCCCTGCAGCAAGATGTGCACCTACGTCTTCCCTGCAGGTAGGCCAGCCAGCTCCCCCTGGAACATCATGCTGCTCTTCCCAGCCTTCGACTTCTCCCTGCTGGCGGGCACCTTTGCCATCAACTGCATCACCTTCACTGCCATCCGCCAGTACTGCAAGGCCCGCAGGGGGCTGGGCAATGAGGCGCAGCCTGGCAGCCGCCTCTCCTTCTCTGACATCACGGCAGCCAAGACTATCGGCATCCTGACCTTTGCCTTCTCGGCCTCCTTCAGCCCAATCGCAGTCTTTGTGGTGGGCTCCGTGCTGAGCTACCAGTGGTGTCAGTTCTCCTTTTACGCCTTCTGGGTCCTGACCTCCAACAGCTGCTGGAACGTGGCCATCTACAGCGCCTGGGACCCCAAGTTCCAGCAGGGAGTTAGGGAGCTGTTCAGCAAGCCAGTGCTGAACACATCACAGCGCCCCAGCCCCTCTGTGGAAGGGGACAGCTCTGCTCCAGCCTGTGTGGCCGTCCTCAAGGAGATATTTCGCCCAGAGACTGCCTGATGTGAGCTCTATGCATAGCGCCGTGCCAGGAAGGCTTCCGTGTTCCTATCTGACGGGCTGCAGTTGCAAGGACTCAGCATTGCCTGGGTTCATGGCTCTCCTACTAACTGGGCCAGATGGGAAGCCTTGATTTATTAGGGTGCTTATTTTTGCAGAGAGATGGCATGAGCTGGGATCTTGGGGGAAGCCATATTTTTCAGCGCTGCTTTGTGCATATGGGTGACTTGGAAACTGTTTAATTCGTGCAGGTTTTCTACCCGGTGCTTTGAAATTGCAGGATTACGTGGCTAAACCATACACAAGGAGGGGGCAAAGTGTGATTTCCAGCTACTCGTGCCAGCACTGATCTTTCCAGACACAAATGGACATATGGTTCTGCTCTGTGCTGCGCTAGAAGGTGGTCATGTAATGTAAGGAACCCACCGTATAGTGTAATGAATCCCTTCTATTGGTGCCCATTTAAAAATGGTGTTTAGAGATACCATAAACATGCAAGATCCTTTACAAATGGAAGGTGGGGTGTCATGGGGTGGGTATGCCCAACCCCTCTGAGGCAGGGTGTTGAGCTTACCAGGCCCTGCGATACGTGCTCCACCCCATGGCTGCTACAGTCCCAAATACCCACAGGCCCCTTTCTCATGTCTAAGAGTCTGGCCTTGCGGCCCAAAGTTAGTGGCCACCCCCATCCACGGGGCAGTAGGGCCCAGTGGCCACGTCAATAGCAACAATGGGAGCGCTGTGTCAGGGGGGATGGGCGTAGGGACACCCAGGCCCTCCCGCTCCATCAGGTCCCAGCCCAGGCCCCTGTCAGTGGTGGGCGTGTCCCACCACTAGCTTAGCAGGGAATCTGCCCACCAACATGCTGAGCTCTTGGGGATCCAGCTTCTAGCTCTGGGCTACTTCCTACCCAGGTGACAATCAGCAGCAGCTTCCCCAGCCTGTCTCTGCTGGCTGGCCTCTGCTGTGGCATCTGTCTGCTGCTGCTGCTGCTCGGGGGAGGTCTGGCAGCTGCGCCTTCATCTGCGGTGGTCAACCCTGACAGAGCTGCTCCACTAGCCTTTATATGCTGGTCCTTCAGTTGGAGCATGCCCTGCCGGGCTGTGGGGGAGGGGCTCTCTTAGACAGGTAGGCCTGGTTAACCCTTCCTGGCCCAGTGTGGGGTTGGTACTCAGGAGGGTACAGATTCTCTATCCCCAAAAAGCTTAAAATTCCAGAGCCAAATTCTCTTCTTCCCTCCACTTCCCACACTCGCACTCAAATAAAGCCAGTAGATCGTGGGTGGGATTTACCTTGAAGGCCATGGCTACACTAGCAGGCTTACATGGCACAGCTGTTAGATGACAAAAAACTCTGGACTCCAGATCAGACAAGAAAAGGAGAGTGCTAGTATGGGGCTGCAGAATGAGGTGGTGTTTGCTGATATTGACACAGTGGAAAACAGTGCTGGAAGAAGGAGGTTTTTAGTACCCTTCTAAATAGTTGTTAGTAGAACATGGTTCAGCTGACCTGCCACTAGGACAGATGTTGCAATCACAGGCAGTATCTTTGGGGGACCATACGGTATCAGTTTATGAATGTTATAGATCTCATTGTGGGCCAGACAGTGCATGCAACTCAGGGTATGTGTGGGTGGGGTTGGGCGTGGGGAGAGGGGTGTAGTTATGGCAGGTTTCTGGGAACTAACATCAGTGTGTGGGGTGATTAAGATGAATCACTGAGGCTGTAAACACCTCTTGAGAATACCACCTCTTAGGGAGGTTTGCATAGACTGGTTCCAGCTGGGTGCTCCAGGAAACAAAGAAAAGGCTTTTGCAATATAAAGGCTGAGTTGGGGAGACTCAGCAGCCTCCTTCAGGATGAGACAGAAAGAACCTTCTGTGCAAGGGAGGTGACAACGCTAGCAGAAGGCTGGAAAGACTTTGTCTTGCAACAGCTCCAGAAAACAGATGGGTGATCTTGGAACAGCCACTGCTTTTAATGTATTTTTTGAGCAGTGATTTTGCCATAAGAACAGACAGAATTTGGCGTTGTGAAGATCAGCTGGTAACTCGTGTGCACTCTCGTAGCCCAAAGAGAAAGATTAACCGCAGGAGTGGGGCCTTAGTCAGAGCTGCTGGGGAAATCAAAGTGAAGTGCAGTGGGAAGTAAGGAAGCAGGAGAGAGCTGATGTCTAGGAAGCCTGAACTTTGAGTGCCCTCGAGGGAGACCGGAAGTGGAGTCAAAGGAGGGGCTAACCCTGAAGCTGGGTCATGCTGTGGCAGTATCTTCAATCTAGGATAGTGGGGACCTACTAATAAAGGGCCAACATCAGAGAAAGGAAGTACTGTTGAAGGGGTAAACACAGCCAAAGTCTCCTTGTCTTTTGGGAAAAGAGTGAAGAGAGGGGAAAATAAGACTATAAGAATGGCCAGACTGGGGCAGACCAATGCAATGGTTCATTTAGCCTGATATCCTGTCTTTGACAGTGGCCAATGCCAGGTGTTTCAGAAGGAAGGAACAGACTAGATCCATCCTCCTGTCCCAGCGTCTGCCCATCGGAGGCTTAGGGGTGCCCAGAGCAAAGGGTTGTGTCCCTGAACATCCTAGGGTATGTCTACACTACCCCCCTAGTTCGAACTAGCGGGGTAATGTATGCATACCGAACTTGCTAATGAAGCCCGGGATTTGAATTTCCCGGGCTGCATTAGCATAAAGCCGGCGCCGCCATTTTTAAAAGCCGGCTAGTGCGAACCCCGTGCCGCGCGGCTACACGCGGCACGGGCTAGATAGTTTGGATTAGGCTTCCTAATCCAAACTATCTGTACACCTCGTTCCACGAGGCCTCAGGACATACCCCAAGTTACTTGCCCTTGGCTGACCTGTCCCCCGTGAGCTGAGATGATTCTTTTTCTAACCTAGTGATACTTTTGGCTTTCATGCCATCCCCTGCCAGTGAGTTCCACAGGTTGGCTACGTTTGGTGTAACATACGAGCTCGTGTTTGTTTTAACCCTGCTGCCTATTAATCAGGTGACCACTAGTTCTTGTGTTACACAAAGAAACAAATAACGTTTCCTGACTCATTTTCTCGGCATGATTTTATAGGCCCCTCTCAGGACCCCTTTACGTTCTTTTCTAATCTGAACCGTCCCAGTCTTTTCTCCCTCCTCACATGGCACCTGTTCCAGACCCCAATCAGCTTTGTTGCCCTTCTCTCTACCTTTTCCAATTTCAATATCAAGTTCTTTGAGACGGGGTGACTGTCAAGGTGCAGGTGCTGTGGATTTAGACAATGGCATGACGATAGTTTCTGGTTTTCATCTCTTTCCTAATGCTCCTGACATTCTGGTTGCATGTTTTGCCTGCTGCTGCACATTGAACAGAAGTTCTCAGAGAACTCTCCACCACGACGCCAAGACCTCTGGCTTCAGTGGTAACAATGAATACGAACTTCGACTCCCTCATTGTGTATGTCCAGTCGGGGCTATGCGTTCCAATGTGCCTTACTTTGCATTTGTCAGCACCGCATTCCGTCTGCCATCTCCTCACCAGGTTAGTGAGATTTCATTAGAGTTCTTTCTAATCAGCTTTGGGCCGGCAGCCTGCAGCCAGCCCTCACACAGGGCTGGAGGTGAGAGCCCCACAGACTTGATCCAGCCTGGATCCTGCTTAGTCGGTTCACCAGTGAACTCATGAACCGGGATTTGACATCCCTTATGGAAAGAATTCATTTCGCTCCCCCACGATGGCCTTTGTCTTCCTGAGTGTCCTGTAGCACGTCCCTCCTCCAGTGACCTCGCTAAGAACCAGAGGGATCGCCTTGTTAGTCTGTATCGAGGGGGCCGCAGATTTCTTAGGGCGTAAGCGGCTATGGGAAAACCGGA